CATCAGATGATTGATTATTGAGTACAACACTCTGATTGAGAAAAAGATTCAGATATTGAAACTTTCTGATATGAAGTGAACTCAGTTGAAATATGTGATTGATTTACTGTTTCAGTTTTATAAGATAATAAAGATGATCTCAATCACTTATACATCAATACTGCAGTCAGTCTGATAAGTGTATAACAGTTTATTTACTTATCTTAAGAAGCAGTTGAATCACTTAAAAAGAAATTCAGTCTGGGATAATGCTATAACACAGGCTATTATTGCTGTAAGAGATAAACTGGCATATTACTACAGTAAAATGAAACAATCTTTTGCAGAGTACTATACTGTAGCAGCTCTACTAGATTTCTCTCATTAAGTTAATATCTACACTTCTCAAGATTGAACAGAGAAGAAATAAGACTCATATATTAAATTAACCTGAGACTACTACAATATCAACTATCAGAGATTTGAACAAGCAGATGTTCAAGATGTGAAGACAGTGAAATATAATTCTCTAGTAAGTAATAATCTTTGATAACACTTCATATCATATAGAACTATAATACTAACTTTGAAACAGAACTTGCATACATTGATTACAACTGAAAATCAGGCAAAACTACATGCTTATAAAACTGAATTTAATTACTATCTTCAAGATGATTCAATAAATTTACACATCAAATCAATTCTAGAGTTATGAAAAATTGTTGAGAGTACATATTCAACTGTTATACTGATGATGTATAATATTCTAATAATTTCATTGACAGAGGTGAGAATGAAGTGAAAGTTTAACTTAAGTTGAGATATTTATCACTATTACTGAGAACAATTACAAGAAGAAACAATCAAGAAACTCATGATTGTAAAACATGAAATTATCAGACAGTTTAATACCTCTGATCACAGTATATCAGAGAAGTGTAGTTTTCATGAGAAAGTGAAGAATAAACTTACACAAGAATGTATTTAGTTGTTTCATGAGTATTATCAATAATCATTACCAAATTCTGATTATATAAGCAATAACTGAATGAACTGAATGAGACTGATTTTGATCTTCAGTCTCAGTCTCATTCTGATTTTGAAAGAATGATTATCTTTCACAGTTTATTCTGAAAAATTACTCTCATTTCACTGTTCTTGAATTAAATCTGGTCATTTTTCACATCATTTCTCTCAGAAATGATCCATTTTCAGATTTTTTTGAGGCTTGGTCCTGGTGGGACTCACGCCAAGAAATGTATGAAACCAGACCAAATGGGATCAAATGTGAAATTCATGGTCCCGGCGGCCAGTCTAAATATAACAGCTTTCATGAGACAGTTGATCACATTCTTAATTAGAGACAGAGAGTAGTAACTCTTTATTATCTTGAAGTTCAAATTACAGTAGTCTATATATAATCTGAGATCTTTATTCTTCTTCTTTATAAATATCACAGAGGCTTCTGCGGAGATCTGTGAAGATTGAATAAAGTTATTCTTCAGATTCTTCTTTACATAGATCTGCAAGATCTCTGTCTTATGATAAGAGAGCTTATAGATTAATTCTCAGAAGAGTTTCTACTCTTCTATTAAATCTATTATCAGATTCTTCTCACAGTCAGAAGAAAGCTCAGCTGTCTTTACTGAGCTGAATATCTCTGTAAGATCTTGATATTTCTCTGATATCTGAAGCTCAGTTTTCATGACTGCAAAGTTCTCAGACATTTGTAAAGTTATTATATAGATAAGCTTGTCTTCTCTAATTAACTCTATAGTATCAACTGATTCTATCTTTATAAGTAAGTCTATTAACACTGATCAGAAGTATAAACCTGACTCATGAACAGCTATATATAAATTATATCTTTGAAGTTATACAAGTCTCAAGTACATGTTATATATAATGTCTGTGATAATCATAGTTTCTACAAATCTTCTTCAGATTCTGAAGAGATCTTGTAATTCAAAGATAACTCTTATAAGTCTCTCAGCTCTCAGGTCTGAGTTCTTATATTCTGCTTATTATAAGAGCAGATTCTCAGTTTTCATTATTCAACTCATTCACTTCATGAGCTTTAGAGATACTACAGTGATCTGAAATTCTGAGTTCATTAATACTTTTCATACTTGCAGAGCAGTAGTATCACAGTATAATCTCTTCTTATAAGTAAGCATTTTCATTGAGAGAGCAACAGATTCAGATATCAGCTTCAAGACTCTTAAGAAGACTGTTACTGACTCTGTCTATAACTTCTCAAATTTCTATTTTGATTTGTTCAGACAGTTTGTGTGAAGATGTTCTGATTTAGAATAGATAAAGCAGAGTCTCTTTTTCTTGATCTCTCTGTTATACACTCTGTTCACAGAAGCTTATAAAGCTCTCTCTCTCTACTCAGCAGTCAGATATATATCTCTCTATATCTTATCATCTTTTTCTGATAAATCTGTTCTCTGTTATTCTGACTCTTACAGAGCTGATCAGTGATTCACTCTCTGCAGATCTATGACTCTCATAGTGATTTATAAGCAGTGAATAAGAGTGATCAGTTTCTTTAGAACTAAGAACTTAGAGTTTTACTTAATAAGCTTATTCTATATATCTTTATTCAGTCTCTTTATGAATATCATTATTCAGATCTTATTTTAGAATTCTGTTTTTATAGATCTCAATTCATATTACAATTCTATGAAACACTGTGAGTAGTCTTCATCAGATTTCTTATCTCTTTTTCTAATATTGATAATTACAGTTCAGATGTTCTCTATCTGACTTATAAAGTCTTTCAACTTATTCTCTAGATAGGTCTTAAGAACAGATTAGCAGAATCTCTTGTGATTATTTTCTAGATAATTCAGTCAGTTCTTAGCTTCAGTATAGTAGAGATCTGTCATTATATAGATAATAGCTTCTTCATCTTTCATATCACACAGCTGAGCTTATAAGTCAATTTTAAATACAAACTTGCAAAAGCTTTTATAGATTGTGATTTGATAAGTAATCTTAAGTAATCACAGCTTAAGAAAGTTTCTTTTCAGTTTATAGATATCTCTGAAGATTA